GTATTTTTGTGGGTATGGATATATTTTAAATATATTGTTTTATATATTGTTTTAAATTGTTATTTTAATGGTTGTTTTATGGTATTAAGATTGTTGTAAACCACCCTGAGCCCACCTGTGGGGAGGGTGGTATATAAAACAAACAAACAAACAAACCTGTAGGGCTGCCAGGTCTGGGGAATGCCTGGGTATTTGGGGAGGGGGGGTGGTAGATCTGGGAGAGGGCGGGGCCTCAGCAGGGCCCAAGGCCATCGAGCCCCCCCCCCTCCCTCCAAAGCAGCCATTCTTCCTCCAGGGGAGCTGATCTCTGTCAGCTGGAGAGGAGTCGTCGAGGCGGGATTTATCCAGACCGCCCCGCCCCCACCTGGAGGTTGGCAACCGTACACCGCCCAGCGCCAGTTGCCCCTCCCCTCGAGTGGGGGCGGGAGGAGAAAGGCCGCGGGCTGGTAGGCCCCGACCCCCCCCCCCCCCCCCCCCCCCACCCTGTGGGCCCCCCCCAGCCCGATCGTGCGGCTCTTCCGCTCTTGGTCCTTCAGGATGAGGAAAGGCCTCCCGTACTCGTCGAACGCCAGGGTCCCCATGGCCGACATGACGGCGGAGGAGAGAAGCCGCGCGGGGCGCCTGAGGGGGGAGAAAGAAAAGAGAGAGAGGGAGAAGCCGGGCCGCGCGCTGAACGGAAAGAAACGGCCGCAGCCCCGCGTGCGTCCCTCCGGCCACGCTTCTTCTCGCGAGACTTCCCGGCACGCGCCCCGCCCCCGCCGGCTTCTGGAAGCGTCGGGGGGGGGGGGGGGGGGGGGGGGAGAGAGGCGGCGCACACGCGCCTCGGAGCTCCGCCCTCCCCCGCCGAAGTGAAGGGGGGCAGAGAACTGACAGGCGCGGCCTGAACTTCCGGTTTCAAACGGGAAACCGCTCTCCCCCCACCCTCCCCGGCGTCGTTGGTTTTCTACGCATGCGCCATCGGCCGTACGCGTGGGAGGGGGCGGATCCCACAGACGGAGAACAAACGGCACTCACGGGCGGCCCTTTTTAATCTCGCTCCACTGCGCAGCCGTGAATGATCCCTCCGAAGTCAGTCTCGCGAGTTCGAGTCCCGTCTTCCGCCACAAAGCTCGATGGCCGACCTCGGCCTCTTCTTCGTTTTCTTTCGGCCTACTTTGCAGGGACGTCGTGAAGGTAAAGCAGAGGGAAGGAGAGCGCGTCGCCTTCGCTTCGCCGCACGGACTCTCGCTGGCTCCGCCCCCTTGAGGAGATACCACTGAGAAGCTTCTGCTGGGGGAGTCCCCCCCCCCCTTACGGAGGCCTCGTTCTCGCCTTCAACTTCGCGGTCGGGTGCTCCGAAGTAAGTGCCGTTGAGTCCTGTGCGCGGCTTACGTCAAAGTAAGGACAGCAGTCCTCTGCAGGTTTTAACTGGGGTAGGGGACAGTTCGAGTCCAGCGGTACATTTGAGACCCGCAAAGTTTACTTCTAGGTATATTTACTTCTGGGTACAAGCTCTTGTGTGCATGCACACCTTTGACACCTGCAAAGGTTACTTCTGGGTACAAGCTCTTGTGTGCATGCACACCTTTGACACCTGCAAAGGTTACTTCTGGGTACAAGCTCTTGTGTGCATGCACACCTTTGACACCTGCAAAGGTTACTTCTGGGTACAAGCTCTTGTGTGCATGCACACCTTTGACACCTGCAAAGGTTACTTCTGGGTACAAGCTCTTGTGTGCATGCACACCTTTGACACCTGCAAAGGTTACTTCTGGGTACAAGCTCTTGTGTGCATGCACACCTTTGACACCTGCAAAGGTTACTTCTGGGTACAAGCTCTTGTGTGCATGCACACCTTTGACACCTGCAAAGGTTACTTCTGGGTACAAGCTCTTGTGTGCATGCACACCTTTGACACCTGCAAAGGTTACTTCTGGGTACAAGCTCTTGTGTGCATGCACACCTTTGACACCTGCAAAGGTTACTTCTGGGTACAAGCTCTTGTGTGCATGCACACCTTTGACACCTGCAAAGGTTACTTCTGGGTACAAGCTCTTGTGTGCATGCACACCTTTGACACCTGCAAAGGTTACTTCTGGGTACAAGCTCTTGTGTGCATGCACACCTTTGACACCTGCAAAGGTTACTTCTGGGTACAAGCTCTTGTGTGCATGCACACCTTTGACACCTGCAAAGGTTACTTCTGGGTACAAGCTCTTGTGTGCATGCACACCTTTGACACCTGCAAAGGTTACTTCTGGGTACAAGCTCTTGTGTGCATGCACACCTTTGACACCTGCAAAGGTTACTTCTGGGTACAAGCTCTTGTGTGCATGCACACCTTTGACACCTGCAAAGGTTACTTCTGGGTACAAGCTCTTGTGTGCATGCACACCTTTGACACCTGCAAAGGTTACTTCTGGGTACAAGCTCTTGTGTGCATGCACACCTTTGACACCTGCAAAGGTTACTTCTGGGTACAAGCTCTTGTGTGCATGCACACCTTTGACACCTGCAAAGGTTACTTCTGGGTACAAGCTCTTGTGTGCATGCACACCTTTGACACCTGCAAAGGTTACTTCTGGGTACAAGCTCTTGTGTGCATGCACACCTTTGACACCTGCAAAGGTTACTTCTGGGTACAAGCTCTTGTGTGCATGCACACCTTTGACACCTGCAAAGGTTACTTCTGGGTACAAGCTCTTGTGTGCATGCACACCTTTGACACCTGCAAAGGTTACTTCTGGGTACAAGCTCTTGTGTGCATGCACACCTTTGACACCTGCAAAGGTTACTTCTGGGTACAAGCTCTTGTGTGCATGCACACCTTTGACACCTGCAAAGGTTACTTCTGGGTACAAGCTCTTGTGTGCATGCACCTCTTTGACACCCGCAAAGAGGAACTGGTTGACCACTTTGTGAGACAGGAGGCTGGACTAGAGGGACCACAGGTCTGACCCAGCAGGGCTCTCCTGGTGTCCTTATCAGGGGAAGGCCTCTGCCTCTCTGCCCTGTTGTTGGCCCTCCAGAGGGACTGGTTGGCCAGTGTGTGAGACAGAATGCTGGACTGGATGGACCATCGGCCTGATCTATTAGGGCTCTTCTGATGTTCCTATGAAGGCCTCGGCCTCTCTGCCCTGTTGTTGGCCCTCCAGAGGAACTGGTTGGCCAGTGTGAGACAGAATGCTGGACTGGATGGACCATCGGCCTGATCTATCAGGGCTCTTCTGATGTCCCTATGAAGGCCTTGGCCTCTCTGCCCTGTTGTTGGCCCTCCAGAGGAACTGGTTGGCCGGTGTGAGACAGGAGGCTGGACTGGATGAACCATCGGCCTGATCTATCAGGGCTCTTCTGATGTTCTTATGAAGGCCTTGGCCTCTCTGCCCTGTTGTTGGCCCTCCAGAGGAACTAGTTGGCCTCTGTGTGAGACAGGATGCTGGGCTAGATGGACCGCTGGTCTGATCCAGCAGGGCTCTTCTGATGTCCAAGAAGGCTTTTTTTTTTAAAGGTCATTCTTTGCACAGACCTTGTGACACCTTGATACTTTAGTATGTTTTCATACTGGATTATGTGTGTAGATTTTGTACTACTTTAATGATGTGTAAGCCTATTGCTCTTGTAATTCATTTTTGTTAATAGGCTTTGAAGCAGTCTTTTTCAAGCAACAATATCCTAAGATGAAACTGCTGGTATAAATTAAAGACTTTGATCCATGCCAAGCCACAGTTAGGCATGATGAAGTCCCCCCGATAGAACCACTTGCTTAATTCCCCAACTGTAGTCAGGAGGACTCGAAGAGACGGCCTTGTGCTGCCTTTGAATCCCTCCTGTGTCACAGACAACCTTGAGCCAGTCACTCTCTCTCGGTCAAACGTACCTCACAAGGTTGTTGTTGTGAGGATAAAATGGAGGCGAGGAGAACTCTGCTGTAAGCTGCATTGGATGTCCCCTGGAAAGCAAAGCGGTATATAAATGTATAAAGAGAGCCAGTTTGGTGTCGTGGTGAAGTGCGTGGACTCTAACCTGGGAGAACCGGGTTTGATTCCCCACTCCTCCACTTGCACCTGGCTGGATGACCTTGGGCAAGCTGTAGTTCCGGCACAGCTGTCCTTGAAAAAAGAGCAGTTTCTGTCAGAGTTCTCTCAGCCCCACCTACCTCACAGGGTGTCTGTTGTGGGGAGGGGGAGGGAGAGGGAAAGGCGTTTGTAAGCCGCTCTGAGACTCCAGAAGTGAAGGGCGGGGTGTAAATCCAATCTCTTCTTCTTCAGACAAATGAATTAGTCTAGACACAATGCAGGAGGCCTCCGACAGAAAAATTGCCTTCCTTCCCCAAGCCCATGGGGGTGGGCTTCAAATGTGATCTGGAGTATCTGTCGGGGGGGGGGGGGGGGCTCCCCGGTGCGCGTTTTGGTTTCCTTAAGAATCACTTTCACAAAGCTGTGTTTGTTCCCATGGGGGAAAGATCTATGGACAGGAGAGTTTCTGGGAAGGTGTAATTTCTAGAGGAATAAGTAAGGTAAAAAGAAGCCACTGGCAGAGACACATCAATGTGTCTCGTGCATTTATTATTTTATTTTATTTATTTACCTTTGGCTTATATACCCCCCTGACCCCGAAGGGTCTCTGGGCGGTTTACATAGAGGTTCTAACCAACCAATTAACCTAACTAGGGCCACATTGTCTACAGGGTGGTGACTGCCTACCAGCACCCCGGGCTAGTTGTCATCCTGCTTCCTTCCGGTCTCACATGGCATAGTGGTTAGAGTGTCTGACTCCTCTCCGGGAGACCCAGGTTTGAATCCATACTCTGTCATGGAAGCTCGCTGGGTGACCTTGGGCTAGTCACCCTCTCAGTCTAACCTACCTCACAGCGTTGCTGTGAGGATAAAGAGGAGGAGAGGAGAATGAGGTAAGCCACTTTGGCAGTAAATAAACAGTGCTTATGTGCGACTGGATGGTGCCCCTTGTGTTTCATAAATGGTTTCTGTTTTCCAGGTACATCTGTGATGTCCAAAATACTTCCTGGAGAAAGCCCAGGCCAAGATGTTTGGACTGCCTGCAATGAAGGTTCTCGGCCCAGGAACTGGGGCTTGTTGGCCACTGGCCTTCTCGGAGGCTCACTAGTGGTGCTGTATTCAATCGCTGCCCCATTTATCACTCCAGCCCTGAGGAAGCATTGCCTGCCGTTTGTGCCTGCTACTCCAAAGCAAATTGACAACGTCTTGAGTGTGCTGAAGGGCCGGAGCGGATCCTTGGTGGACATAGGCAGTGGTGATGGACGCATTGTAAGGTTAAAGCCAAATGTGTATGGGGGTGGTGGAGCCAAGCAAGGGGATGTTGACACATTTGGCACCACGCTGAAGGTGTTTGAGGACTGGTTTAGAACTGCCAAGTATTTATGAATGCGTGTGTAATGATTCCTTGTTTTTGTGTGTGTGTGTCTCTTTAAAAGTTTGGTTGCATGGCTGTGGTAGATAGACTAGAGTGGTTGAGAGAGGCAAGTGTGGTATGATTGGTGATTGACAGAGAGGGGGAGGGGTTTTGGAAGTGAATCTGGGTGGATGAGTATGTGAGTCAGTCAGGAGTTTCAGTTACAAGTTTACAGTTGATGGAAACAAGCAGTTATGTGTGGAAGTAGTTAGAAGCTGACAGTTGAAGTTGTTCAGTAAGAAAGAGAAAGAGAGCTGAAAGCTGAGTGTATAGGAAAAAGTAAAGTTTAAGTGGAGAAAAGTTAAAGGAAAGTCTGAGTGTCATAACAAACTGGAGTGGAACAGTGAACATATATGACATTGAGAAAAACAAGTGTTACAAAGTTACATGAAAAGATCCCTATCAGTGAGGGAGAAGATTGTGTGTGATACCAAAGCAATTGTTCATCATTTACACATTACTAGTTACATTGTACCACCCACTTATTTAGTATTTATTTCAATAAATCCTCTTTTATCCAAGTTTATACCAGCTCTGAATGAAATACTTCCCAGGACCACATAGTTCCTCGTAAGCCTTGAACTCGGTCTACCAAACTAGTAAGAGCAAAAGTAAAAGCATAAAGGTTTGGAAATCCTTAAAATTTCCTGGTGGCAGCAGATTCTACCCAGTTAAGCGAAATAAAGAGAACTTTTAAAGTGAAACTAGTCCTCCCCAATAAGGAGGACGTCACAGTGTGCAACTCACAATTAGACACGTACCATAACATCATAAATTACCCACATTGAAAACAAGGTAGAGACATAAAAATACATAAAGCAAACATCAGGCTGCCTAAACATACACATAAAACAGTCCCCAAGTTGAAGGAAAGCCAGGGAATGACTGAAAAAGGCAACACAAATTAATTGAAAGCCTGGGTTGAAAAAACGTTTTCCCTTTGCAGGCAGGGGCGCAGGAAGCAAAACTTGGGACGAAGCTCATCGGGGACAGGCTGGTCAGTGGGGGGAGGGGGCAGTCCTTTCAAGTACCTGAGCCCCAGGTTGGTTCGGGCTTTAAATGTGAAAACTGGCCCTTTGAATGGTATGCCCAGAATCAGACCGGCAAAGAGTTTCCACAGCAGTTTCTCAGAAGTCTTTCCCAGCCCTAATCACTGGCAGAGTTTAACGGAGGTGCCAGCTGCTGCCCCTGAAACTTTCTTCAGTGCTAAGCAAATTCTCTGGCGTACCGCTCATTGAGGGTGCCATTGCGCAGGCTTGGAAATTCCCGCGCTGTTTTCAGATCTGCCTCTGAATTGGGAAACAAGGCAAGGGTGGCTTTTTTATCCCGTTCTTTTTTTATTTTGTTTCTTGGATGTACCATACAGCCAGTGTTCCCTCTAAGCTGAGTTCGTGTGAGCTAGCTCACAGTTTTTTTAGCCTCCGGCTCACCCATTTTTGTCTTCGCTCAGGGAGGGGATGGCTCCAGAGCAAACTAATTTATGCAGTAGCCAAATCACTCGCTCACAACTTCGATGCTAGTAGCTCACAAAGTAGTTTTTTTGCTCACAAGACTCCACAGCTTACAGGGAGCATTGCATACAGCAGGAGAAGGAGGACAGCTGGACCAGACAGAAACCTGAGGGGAAACTGAGGCTATCTCGCCTTCGGATTCAGCCCCAATGGGAGGATGTGGGCAAAGATGTGGCTGCATCCTCTGGTGTAGTTGCCTGCTGGTTTTTCAGGTTGGAACTTGCTTATAAACACATAAAGCAGCCTCATACTGAATCAGCTCTTTGGTCCATCAAGGACAATATTGTCCACTCAGACTGGCCATGGCACTCCAGGGTCTCAGGCTGAGTTTTTACACATCATCTGTTGCTTGGCAACTGAAGATGCCAGGATTAAACCCGGGACCTTCTGCATGCAAAGCAGAGGCTCTTCCACTGAGCTACACCTTCCCTTTCTGTTTCAGGCTCCTTCTCTTACCTGGGAGTTTTAAGACACAACACTAGCCTACCTGACATAATCCTTGTGATTATCACCTTCTGCGTACGCAAAGCAGATGTTCGTCCACTGAGCTGTAGCCCCTCCCCAACTCAGCTGCCCTTTTTGCAAGAGGGTCTAAGCTGCCTCTTTTGACAAGGTAAAAGTCTGTCCTCCAGGGACTCATCTGCTACTGATGAACAAATCGGCAGACCCAATAAACCAAATCAGTGTGAGTCTCTACAAAACGGAGGTTTTAAGTATCAAATTGACCACGGCTTGAGCAAATAAAAAAGCATTTCTTTTAAGGCTACAAACTAAGGCACCTTTACTAAGGCATGAAGACATCGGCCATATTCTAAGCATAGCCCTCAGATAGGGATATTGGCCGTGTCACTAAGCACAGCCCTCAGATAGGGAGTGTTGCAATGAACCCGTGTCTGCTGCTCAAGGTAAAATCGGTTTCTTCTTTTACAGGTAATCGCAGCTGCAAAAGTTGGTTTCAAAGCTGTTGGATATGAACTGAATCCCTGGTTAGTGTGGTATTCCCGGTACCATGCTTGGAAAGCAGGGGTGCATCATAATGCTAAATTTTACATTTCGGACTTATGGAAGGTATGTGTCTCTGAGCAGCATTTGCAGTGATACAAATAAAAAGTGGTCGACAAAAAGTAGTGCAGCACTGGACATGTGCTTAATTTTTGGGGGGGTAATTATTTTTATTTTTAGAGAATTAAATTACAGAGTTACATAAAAGTACATAAAATACATAATAATCAATATAGAAAGTAATATCAGAAACATCTGGAATGTTCAAGGTTAAGGATGGAAAGGATAGAAAAAAGTAAGCCAAGCCAACTTTGAAAATATACAGATTCAAAAAACATATTTAAAACTACTATACTTTTATGAGATGACTTAGGTTAGTAGCATCAGTATTACATAGTTTGTAGGTCAAGTTAAGAAAACATATATAAATTTTTAGAGCCAAATATACAACCAGCATACTCTCTTAGCAAGAACAAAAACTAACAGAGAAGGGGATATAATATCAATATAAATATATTAGGACTAAGTCCGGTTGTGGGAAGAAATACAACGAGCTCTAGAAGGAAGCTCCAGGAGAGTATCCCGGCTGTGGCTGGTGGGGCGGCAGAGGGAAGGGGAAAATAGAGGGAGGAAAGCCATGTTTATTTCCTTCTGCTTAGCAATAAGGCAGGGCTGTCTCAAGTCATTTTGCTGCCCCAAGTGGGTAGTATGGGAGGACAGCCTCATGGGAACAGGTATTGTTCCTCCCACCCCTGACTTATGTTGATTTGGGGTTATGCAGTGGCAGCTAAGGTAGAAAAGCACCTCGTCCTATGCCATGTCTTCTGGGTTCCAAGGATCTGGAAAGCAGTTCCATAGCCAGTTACAGGATTGCCAACTCTGGGTTGGGAAATACCTGTAGTTTTGAGGGGTAGAGCCTGGGGGAGGGCAGGGTTTGGGGTGGGGAGGGACCTCAACAGGGTTTAATTCCATAGAGTCCATTGCCCAAAGCAACCATTTTCTCCAGGAGAACTGATCTTGGAGATCTCCAGGTGCTGCCTGGAGGCTGGCAATACTAAGGGGAGGGCCAGACCTGTAGATTTGAGGGTTGGAGCCCAGGGTTTGGGGTGCGGAGAGACCTCAGCAGGGTATAATGCCATAGATTCCACTGCCCAAAGCAGCCATTGTAATAGCTGGGAAATTTTCTGTAGGAGAAATGATGTGCTGTGGCTGAGGAACACGGTGATTTCTGGGAGATCTCCAGGCCCCACAGGGAGATTGGCAACTCCAGTGAAGATTGGGATATGTATTTTACCTCAGGACACATTGAATGACTCCCAACAGCAACCTGTTTAGAATGTTAGAGGCAAAGGCCAATCAGGCCGCATATGCAAATGACCTCTATTCCAACTGGCTATTGGGGGGAAAGGAACAGCAAACTGTTTAGAATATTGGAGGCGAGACTCAGGCAATGCATCCAGTAGATAGGGACAGCTTCTGAGTGACAGATCAGGGAGCCAACTGATTTGGGAGCATGTGGAATGTTCAGGAGAGTCCATGACCAAAACAGAATCTCTCCTTATATATAATTGAATAGTGGGTGCCAAAGTTCTAATTCTAAAATGCACTCCCTTAGTGTATGGCTGATGGCACTGCTCCTCAGCATATATGGCTGATGGCACTGCTCCTCAGCATAATCAGAAGGCAAAGCCCGGGTCCTGCCCACACCACAACTGCTATGACAACCTGGTCTTTTGCATATGGAAGCTGATTGGACTTCACTCCATTCCACACCTCAAACTCCCCCCCCCCGCAAGGCAGTTGGAATGTCAGTTGCATATGGAACCTGCTGTATTCTGGTGGTGTGCAGGTCCCAGGTTCATGTTTTAAAAGCAGACTGACACTGTTTGCCCAAAGCCAGAGCACTCTCCCAGAGCCTCTTTCTAGATCCCGTTGTATTTATTTCCACAACGGGCCTTATTTCTAGTTATATATAAGGAGAGATTATAATATCAATATATCAATTGGATATGATCTATTTAGTAACGATTCATTGGCAGAGATAAACTCAATTACTGGGAACCAAGTTTGAATAAAGACAGACATTTCAGAGTTACTATTGTTTGTGGACAAATGATCTAAAATCTTTTCCATTGTGTACATATCCCAAACACAATGATACCAAGTAGATATAGATGGAGTTTTAGAGTTTCTCCAAGCGACAGCTATAGACCATTTTGCAGCTACACATAGCATAGCAATCAGATTGCGTCTAACTATTGGAACAGATTAATGTTGCCATAAATTTAAGAGCATAACCTCTCGGGTGAAAGGAGTCAAATAACCTGTTATCCTATAAATATTTTGATGAACCAATCACCAAAAGATCTTAATGTGTTTGCAAGTCCACCAATTATATATAAAAGTTCCATTCCAACATAAAGATTGATAAATCGGGTTAATGTGATGTAATTGACGTGGCGTTAGATACCAACAAGAAATTAACTTAAAAGTCTGAGTCTGTAGGTCCAACTATTTTGACTTAGAAGGGGTTGAGTTCCAAATTTTAGACCAATGTATAGTAGATAGATTACAATTCAGTTCAGGTCCTTATTCCAAGAATGAGCATACGAGGGTAAAGAGTGTCCAGTCAAATCTAGTAAAATTTTATATAAAATTGAAAGCACACCTTTACTAGTTGTAGTGTTAAATTTGAGTAACATTTCAAAATTTGTTAAGTTTCTCAATAAACTGTCTCTGATTCCTGAATTGTCAATAAGGTGTTTGAGTTGTAAATAATGAAACCATGGGATAGGTTTCCCTAGCTTCAAATCGAGACATATCTGATCACAAATAGTGCCTTCTGGTGTTATGTCCAAAAAAATGGGTGAGATGTGACGTTCTCCAGATTTGTGAAAAGGCTTGCCGTCGCCCAGGTTCAAACCATATTTGCCCCAAGAAGGTAGAGAGTGGTGAAATTGGTGGAGCAAGTCTAGATCTCCAAAATCCCACATTCAGTGTAGTAACTAAAAATCTGTTGTCTGTTATAGATAAAGGTCTTCATGTGCTTAATATTTCAGTGATATTTGTAAAAGTCCAATGGAGTCGTTTAAGCTGGAGGCAAAGCAACAAATTCCCTTCCACTCACCCATCCCTCACCCTTTTGTGTCTGTCTCATTTAGACTGTACAGCTCTCGGTAGAGTTTGTTTCTGGTTTGACCAGTGCAGAGCTCCACATATATCCTCGGCTGCTAAATCTTTCCATGTTTGCCTTTGCAATACAACCCTTTCACCTTCAGGATGCCACCGGATTCCTTGTTGACTCATGATTTGGCTATGGCAGGATGTCAGGTCCAACCGCCCTTGGGGTTCGCTTCAGTAGATAAGTTTGCAGCTAGCCAGCAGACAGGAAACTCTCAGCACACAGCAAACATCTTTAAAAGGCTTATTTCATTTAATTGAATAAAAACACTCAAACACTCAGGATGTATGCAGTGCAGAAATCATCCAACCTATGAGCAGTTGGCAGTAAAAACATTTGAATCCGAAGGTACGTTGGCAATTCTAAAAAGGGAAGCTGCAGCTTCTTATATGACCTCATAGACAGTTCAGTAGTAAATCACCATAGAACAGAATCCAGTTCCATCTCCAGAGGCAGCTGATCAACTCGACGTCCAAGGATACTCTAGTGCCTCCTGAAAGGTTAATCTGCATCTCACGACCTGGGCTACTGCCACTCCCTTGAGATAACCAAGCCTTGCAGCTGCCGGCAATTACCCCCACCAGGCTACCTTCCTCCTCCAAGGATGGATCCTGTCAAACTCATGGCCCCCTTCCAATCACCGGAGCTTAGCAAATTATAGGCTCGTTCAGCCCTCATCCCTTACACAGGACTTTTTTGCTTGGCTGTCCAGTCTCGTAAGCCTCTTTCCTCGATCTTGAGGGCACAGCTGCAAGCAGAGAATCACGAGCTCTGATTCTGGATCAGCGAGCGAAGGCCATTGCAACTGTCAGAGATGGGCAGGGTGAAAGCCCGCCCTTCATTTACATTTAACATCTGCTGAGCCTTACGGAATGTAGATGATAGGTTTTCATTTTAACCACAAGGGTGTATGTACAGGTTAGGCAAACCCACGCATTTAGAGGGTGAATACTAACAGCTGTTCTTTTTTCTTTTTTAAAAAATAGGTCAGTTTCTCTCAATATACAAATGTGGTAATTTTTGGAGTACCTCAAATGGTAAGTTTCAGATTTTCTCCTGTCAGTTGTCTAGATATGGAGAATTTGCTAATAGACGTGGTAATTAGTTTTATGTGGTATAATGGGGCAAATGTGAGGACCCCAGGGCTAGGGGCTGCATACTTGGGGGGGGCATCTCTTCTCCCCATTGTCAGAGATAACATACCAGAACTGTGAGGCTTGCACTGAGCGGCCTGGTTCCTTTCTATCGCCTACTCCAGAGGTTAACCACTGCCCATTGGCCTGGCCAGCTCACTATTCCTCACCTCCACCTATTTACACCTTGCTGCTAGGGCAGCTTTTCTAGCCTGAAAAACTGGAAGACCACTGCTTTAGCCTAACCACAAATTCTCCTAACCACATTGTTTGTCATTTATATCTTATTGTTTGTCATTTATATCTACACCAGTTTGGTGTAGCGGTTAAGTGTGCGGACTCTAATCTGGGAGAACCGGGTTTGATTCCCCACTCCTCCACTTGCAGCTGCTGGATGACCTTGGGCAAGCCCTAGTTCTGTCAGAGCTGTTCTTGAAAAAGCAGTTTCTGTCAGAGCTCTCTCAGCCCCACCTACCTCACAGGGTGTCTGTTGTGGGGAGGGGAAGGGAGAGGAGTTTGTAAGCCGCTCTGAGACTCCAAGTGAAGGGCGGGGTATAAATCCAATCTCTTCTTCTTCTTCTTCTTCTTATTTCCATCACGAGGAATCCACTATTGACATCTTCCTCTCTAAAAGGATGCAGTCCAAAATATTGGACGGAATGGTTAAAGACTAAGGACATTCACTGAAAACTTGCTCCTTTTTTAGCACAAGCTTCTCCTAGCCCGTTTTTCATAATATTTTGGTCAATGTCCATTTTCCACAGTTAGGGGGATGTTTATTATGTGGATTCCAGGCAAACGTCAAAATACATTTTTTTAAAATAGTATCACTTTTTTCCTTTGGGGAACAGATGTAATACTATATATTATAATATTAGTATATTATATATTATATAGTACTATGTATTATACCGGGGTCCCTAACTTTTAAATTTTTTAAAATAATTTTAATTAAATAAATATAAAACAATTTATACAAAGAATCCCAAACAATACAAACTATTTAACACTAATAACATTCTTGATATTCTAGTCAGTATATCTGTCTAAAACGTAACTAATTAAAACCCTTAACATGTTTTTTAATAATACAGTTGGGTTAGCAACTATCTTGTATAAACGTAAGAATTTGAGTTCAACTAGCTAATATTTATTGATCAAAATTAAAACATATTCTAAATCTGGGGTTTATAGAATAAACACTTCAGATGAAACTAAATAATCTCTCCTTATTATAAAAGAGTTTTGGTGTCCCTCCTGCACACAGCTCCCACAGCCTTTGGCCCGCTCAGCTGCCTGTCTCGCGGACTCCCAATCCCCTGGCTGCATTGCCTCGCTGCGTTGGCCCCGCCCACAGAGCCGGCAGCCAGCGTTTTGCTCTCAGTCTGGAGGGAGCCAGCAAAGGGAATGGACGCTCTGCCGAGGGAGCGGCAACCCCTCCACGGGGGAGAAAAAGGCAGACCTAGCGAGCAGCAGCAAGCCAGGGGAAGCACTCACCTTTACTGCCCCTCGCGGCCCCTCTCTCTCGGCTGCAAGGCCGGCGCTTTGTCAGGGCGATAGCTCAGTGGGCTGCACCGCAGAGAAGGCTGCCCAGCACCTTTCAATGGCTCCCCCGCCTTCCTTCAGCAGCGGCAGCGGCACCAGGGAGGGTCTGGCCTGGAGGAAACGAGCTGCGGCTCCTGAAAAGCCGGACTCTCTCCTAAGGAAGACACTTCTCTTGGCTCCTGTGTGGGACTAACTGTCCCCTCAGTGGCTCTTGGTAGGCAACCAACTTCTGTCAGTTAAAAAAAAAGACTTTCAGCATAACTCCCTCCCCCGCCCACTGCCATCTTGACCACTTTCCTGTCAGAATACATTTCAACCAGCTCTCTCTCCTTTTTGGCTCCACCATGGCTGGCTGACTAGTGAAGTGGGCCAGCGACCATCAAACAGTTCTCTTCAACCCCCGGCTGTGTGGCTGACTTTCCCTAGGTGGGACCTGGAGATCTCCTGCTGTTACAGTTGATCCCCAGATGACAGAGATCAGTTCCCCTGGAAAAAATGGCTGCTTTGGAGGGTGGACCCTGTGGAGGGTTATCCCCTGCTGAGTCCCTTCCTTCCCCCCCCCCCATGTTGCCCTCCATGGGATCCACCCCCCAAACCTCCTCTCCAGGTATTTCCCTAATCAGAGGTGGCAACTGTGCTTCTCAGTGCCTGTTGCTAGGCAACCAGGTTCTGTGAGTAAAAGGCCCTTTCCACACCTGTTTTGGCCTTTGGGAGAAAACTCATTGGGCCCAGTCTTGATAGGGTTGCCAACTCCAGGTGGGAAATTCCTGGAGATTTGAGGAGTGGAGCCTGGAGAGGGTGAAGTTTGAGGAGGGGTGGGACCTCAGACAGGTGCAATGCCACGGACTCCACCCTCCAAGGCAGCCATCCCTCATGGGGAACCAGTGTTGCCAATCTCCAGGTGGGGGATAGAGAAAACTCAAAATTACACCTGCTCTCTAGGAGGGAGGGGGAGGAGATGGAAAGCTGAAGCCAGGGGGCAGATAACGTTAGGTTGACAGTTAGCTGGGAGGGAGATGGGGTTGCCAAGTCCAGGTGGGAAATTCCTGGAGATTTGAGGGGTGGAGCCTGGAGAGGGTGAGGTTTGAGGAGGGGTGGGACCTCAGACAGGTGCGATGCCATAGACTCTACCCTCCAAGCCAGCCATTCCCTCATGGGGAGCCATTGTTGCCAGTCTCCAGGGGAGGGATGGAGATCATGCAGAATTACAACTGTTCTTCAGATGGCAGAGATCAGTTTCCCAGGAGAAAATGGTGGACTCTCTGTCATTATACCCTGCTGAAGTCGCCACAGCAAATTGACACTGAGTGCCAAAGGCCGGGGCACCCTCCCAGAGCCTCTTCCTAGAGCTCATTGTATTTATTTCCACAACGAGCCTTATTCCTAGTCAGGAATAATTCCATTCTGTGCCATGTAATTTATGACCGGAAACCATTTTTCAGCTTTTTTGACCCTGTGGGCACCTTTGGAATTCTGACACAGGTCACAAAATGGCTGCCGTAGAAGGTGGAGCTGAGGTGGAGAGGACTTCAGAATACCCTCTGGGAAAGAGGACTGAAGAAAACAAAGCTAACACTGTGGCAGCAGCTCCCATTGAAACAGTATAATTTTAATCTGCACAACCAATCAGATCTCCCATGGCCAATCAGAAGCCCTGCTGGGCAAAAGCCCCACACGGCCCCGCCCACTTTCGAAAAACACCCAGTGGTGCCAGGAAAGGTGGGTGCCATGGCACCCATAAGTACCACGTTGGGAACCCTGGTATTATAGTAACTATAATATATAGATAGATAGTACTATAAAATAATATGTATAAAGTGCTCACTATTAAGTGCTGTCCAGTGATGAAGTTGGAGGAGGAAGAGGAGGAGGAGATTGGATTTATACCCTGCCATTCATTCGGAGTCTCAGAGCAGCTTACAAACTCCTTTCCCTTCCCCTCCCCACAACAGACACCCTGTGAGGTAGGCGGGGCTGAGAGAGCCCTTTCAAGGACAGCTCTGACAGAACTACGGCTTGCCCAAGGTCACATCAGCAGCTGCAAGTGGAGGAGTGGGGAATCAAACCCGGTTCTCCCAGATTAGAGTCCACGCACCTAACCACTACGCCAAACCGGCTCAGAAAGAACAAACTCACAGGATCATAGTGAAGAAAAGTGCAGGGGAGACGGTAGCAGAGGAGAAAGAGAAATGGAAGGTTAAAGACTCATTAAAAGGGCAACATTTTCATGTGCTGTTGACGCATCTTCAAGGAGGAAGAGGTCTGTATGTCTGGGAAAGGAAGAAGTCTGCCTTATTCTGAACGTGCTCTTGTTGCTTCCTCTGCTGATCTTTCATCTGAGACGTGGTCTGCCATCCCCCTCCTCCCCCCATTTTCTTTTGTATGTCTCTTTCTGTACACCCAGCATGTTTCTCCTTTTGATGTTCAGCAAATCAATTATTTTAATTCTTCTTCGTCCCTTTCTGTTTGCAATTCTTCAAATCCTTTGAAGGGCTATCATCCACGTTCAATCATGTTCTGTTCCAGAGCCTCCAGACTCGTTTCCTAATGATTTTGCAGTCTCTGGATCTTCTCTCCCGAGCCCTTTAGACAACTTAACACATTCCGTCCTTCTCATCTGTATTCCGTCACTGCGTGCGCCATGTCCTCCACACCACCCAAAGTGCTTTTCGTTTCTTCTCAGATGCTTCAGCTTGAAGACAAGCTCGGAGAAGAACTCCAGCCAGAAGCCAAAGTCGTTGCGTGTCGTTTTCCTTTCCCCCATTGGAAGCCAAGTCATAGTGTTGGAGAGGGCATCGACACAGTGTGGGGATATCATTCAGAATCTTTCAGGAGGAAAGATGACTGAGCTATATGACCAAGCATACTCCTACTGATTACTTGAAGCTCCGCAAGGGTTGTTCCAATGACTGGGTTTGAGCCAAATGTACGTGAGATGAAGTGGATGATAACTGCGCAAGTGGAGCTTCCCTGCTTTCCCCAGCAAAAAGCCCCCCACCCACATGCGACCCAGATCATCAACTGATATTTATGGGGCTTTTGTAAACAAAATGCATCCGCGTACAGGAGCTGCAGGGAATATCCAGTGGCACAGGCTGTTCGAAACCTTTGCAAGTATGGACTCAACCTGTTGAATGATGTATGTAGTTGTTTTCTAGATGGACACAATTCCATTAATTTGCTGAGAGAACATTTCAGAAGTAATAGCAAAAACGGGGTGGGGGGGAGGCGCGGTATGACAAGCATTACTGGCGTCTCATGTCGTAAAAAATCAAGGAAGCCTTCAGGTATGTTAAACACATGTACTGTTTCCCCCCTAGCCATTGTTCCGGTCTGTGCAGTAAAAGTTATCTGTCCCAAGCTCTATGAGTGGGGTGAAACAGAACTGAACATAATAAAAAAAAAAAAAGTTGTGAAATAATTTAAAATGTGATGGTAAAAAACAGTTACATTCAAAATGGAACAAGGACTTTAATAAACTCTGTAATAGGTTTTATTTAAAATTGTGTCTTCAATTATCTTATCTTTCTGGGAGTATTTTGAGTACATGTTACAGAAGAGGAGATGTTGTCTGTGTCCTGGGATTCTTGTGCACACTTAATATGAAGTAGGTCAGGTCAGTTTGAGTTTTAACAGCCCACAGACCATACGCTATAAAACCAATGTTAAGAATTAAAAATCACAGTAAAACAAAAGTTTGCCATATCCGCTAATACAGCTTTTGCAGAGGCTACTCAGAAGTAATCCTAATCTACACTCATTAAAAAGGTAAAGGTTCCCTCGCTCGAAAGCCAGTCGAATCTGACTCTACGGTTGCGGTGCTCATCTCCATTTCAAAGCCAAAGAGCCAGCACTGTCCGAAGACGTTTCCGTAGTCATGTGGCCAGCATGACTAAACACCAAGGCTCACGGAACGCTGTTACCTTCCCACCGAAGTGGTCCCTATTTATCTACTTGCAATTCCTTGCTTTCGAACTGCTCGGTTGGCAGGAGCTGGAACTAGAGACGGGAGCTCACTCCGTCATGCGGCACCCGGGTCTCGAACTGCTAAACTACCGACCTTCCACAGCCTGCAGTTCAGCGTCTTAACCACTTGAGCCACTGCAGCTCCACTACACTCATGGTATTCTGAGTTATGGCAGATTGCAATAGCTGAAAAATTAACCAATCAAATTAAAATAATCAAAGCCAAAACTGTAGACTTTTTTTAAACGTGGCACAATTTTATTTTATACACAACTCAGAACAATACCCAAAGTATGTTTAAACCCTTCCTCAGATTATGGGATAAAGATAAATCAGCCTCTCTATATACTTTAATCATGCTGTAACTATACATTAATTATGCATGTTTATGGGGAAAGAAAAAAGAAGGGGAAAGAATTCTCTTTGTATTCATGCTGAATGTTGAGCTCTCCACCAATGCCTTAATTTTGTTAGTTTTTTACTTTTCTTTTCTTTTCTCTCTCTCTCTCTCCTTTTGCTTTTCTTTGTATACTGTAGGTTGTGTGCTTGATGTTTATGCCTGGGTTTTTCTGTATATATTTAAATATTTACTTCTTTTAAAAAGGGGGGGGGGGATGTTCCAGTACTTAAGTAGCCATTTTCTACGCAATCTCTCTTGGGCTGTTGCATACTTTGGACGCTAGAAAAACGAATGGGACAATGAATCAGCCCCTGACAAAGGACAGTCAGTTTAATATGAAGTATATTCCTTCCTTTCTTTGTGGTACCCCTGTGCACCCTCCTCTCAATTTCATTTAATTATGCTTTCATATAAGAACATGCAGGATTCCTGGAGAAAGATCTCTTAAAGTATGTGCCAAAGAAGAGGCCCATAGCTAGGAATGATGCAGTGGGAGGCCGGAACATATAACATGGGAACAATAAGTTAGTGGAAAACACCAGAAACCTTAACTACATGTGCCGCAATCTTTTAAAAATGAAAATTATTTAATTAATTGTTTAATTAATTGAAATGAAGGTACCCTTGTTTTCTTACATAGTCATTCTATTGTACTACCTTTCCCCAGCCCAGACCTGGACAGCCCAGGCAAGCCCAAACTCCTCAGATCTCAGAAGCATAAGCGGGGTCAGCCCCGCTTAGCCTTTAGATGGGAGACCACCAAGGAAGCGGCTATGCAGAGGCAGGCAATGACAAACTATCTCTGTTCATCTCTTGCCTCAAAAACTCTCTTGAGTCACCCTAAGGAGGCTGCAACTTGTCAGACTCTTGCACAAACTCACAACACTCTTCTGTTAGTGATTTGTTTATTGAGATAGATAGCTGTGTCAAGTAGAGACCATCTCTGTCAGAACTAGTATCTCTCCTTATATAATAATCCTCTTTTGGGGTGGCAAGATTCCATGCTCTCCCTCAGCCATTGGCCCATCAGCCGCCACTCAAAAGTACTCGCGTGCCATTGGCCAGGTGCTGGGTCTGCTCCTCTTCCCCACCCACTCCCCCTTCAGCCACTGTGCCCTGTCAGAATGACTTGCAAAGCTGAAATCAGAGGGGCAGATAATGGCAGGTTGATGCTTGGCTGGGAAGGAGATAGGGTTGCCAACTCCAGGTTGGGAAATTCATGCAGATTTGAGGGGTAGAGCCTGGAGAGGGTGAGGTTTGAGGAGGGGTGGGACCTCAGACGGGTACAGTGCCATAGACTCCACCCTCCAAACCAGCCATTTCTTCCTAGGTAACAATTGTTTCCAATCACCAGGTGAGGGCTGGAGATCACTGAAAATTACAACTGCTCTTCCCCTGCAGAGCTCATATTGCCCTACAAGCAACTGGCTCTTGTCTACTTCCTGTTCCTGCTTCCTTGTTCCTGCATTGCAGTCTGTTTTTTCCCAGCTCTCTCCTCTCCTGCTTTCTGTTTCTCAGAGGAGATAAGAAAGCCAAGCCTCCCTTCTTTTATTTTTATTTTATTTTATTCAGTTCATACCCCGCCCTCCCCACAATGCGGGCTCAGGGCGGCTTACATAAGGGCGTACGCCAATATAAAAACATATTTTAAACCATTTAAAATCCATACAATACAAAACATTCTTAATAAGTTATTAACTAACTAACTAAAGTGCTCTCGATGTTCACAGATGGCGTATTTCAAACTGATTCAGCATCATCTGCTCTGGGGGCGCTGACGTTCCCTCATCCAGGGCCAGGGTAAGATGGAGAGTGGTGGTAGTGGTGGCTCCTACTCATATGCCTGGTGGAAGAGCTCCGTCTTACAGGCCCTGCGGAACTGTACAAGGTCCCGCAGGGCCCAGATCTCCTCCGGGAGCTCATTCCACCAGGTAGGAGCCGCCACCGAGAAAGCCCTGGCCCTGGTAGCGGTCAGCCTGACCTCTTTAGGGCCTGGCATTGCCAGGAGATGTTGCATCCCGGACCGAAGTGCTCGCTGGGGAACATATGGGGAAAAGCGGTCCCTTAAAGGTAAGAACCAGCACTTTGAAACGAATCCGGTACGCTATTGGCAGCCAGTGCAGCGCTTTCAGCACAGGCTGGATATGGTCCCTTCTAGGAAGACCCATCAACAACCTGGCCGCAGCATTCTGCACTAGCTGCAGCTTCCAGATTTGCAACAAAGGCAGCCCCATTTAGAGAGTGTTACAGTAGTCTAGCCTCGAGGTGACCGTCGCATGGATCGCTGTGGCCAGGTTGCTGCGGTCGAGGAAGGGGACCAACTGCCGCACCAGCCGCAGATGGTAAAAGGCTGACTTGGCAGTGGCTGCCACCTGGGCCTCCATGGTTAACGAGGAGTCCAGGAGTACTCCCAGACTCCTAACCTCCGGCGCTGGTACCAAAGGCACCCCATCGAAGGTCGGGAGAGGGAGCCCTAACCCCAAACCACCGCGACTCAGGCCCAGGACCTCCGTCTTCGCCGGGTTTAACTTC